GATCGCGCGACCCTGCCCGTGAGCAATCTCCCAACTGATCTCTGGCCCTACGTTTGTCTTGTCCGCCATATTTGATACGTTTTCTCCTGGTTTTCTACGTTGTCTACGGAAAACTACTTGATTTACGTAATGTACGTCAAAAACCTCGAAAATCGTGAAATTTCCCAACTCTGCCTCTGCTTATACTTATCTCTGTACTTACCTTAGAGTTCGAAAATTCTCGGTAACATTAAATTGGAGAAGGTAATTGTGGAACATACCGTAAGTTACCGGGAACATTGAGAATTTAAGAGAACGTTAATTTTGTTATTTATACTTTAGGCTTCTTCGTTTAAATAACTTTTTTTTTCGATCAACTTCAAAGTTCAACCTAAAGAGTAATAATTCCTTTAGAAAATATTGATTACAGGGTCGTATTTACCTCCAACTAAAAATATTCACGTATGTGCAACTTCACGGAAAATTCCATGCCATTTCTTTTCAAACGAACTGATATTTCATTCTGCGACGAAGCGAATGGAAGGTTTTGATTGGCTACGGAGAACGTACAACGGAAATTCCCCTCTACGATGTTTCTCTATAGCTAATCGAAGCCTCTCGTTCGCTCTGTTGAAAAATTCAAATTCTCATAATATCTCGATAGAAAAGGCTTTGGAGAAATTACCGATAAATTACCGGGAATTTCTCTTCGTTTCTGACGTAACTTACTGGATTTAGAACTCTAACTTACCTATCCCCTGGTGGCAGGCAGGGTATACATGTACGCGCCTTTTTTTGAATAGGAATAAAGTGCCCGCAAGAAGATATAGACACCCTAAAGTTGTATCGTACATTATTTGTAAGAGCATACAAATGGGAAATAACCGGGAACAGTTCCTGCCCGTGTGCTTGAAATTCTTTTTATCTCCCTTTAAAGCAGCAATTGGTAGCAGGGCAAGATGGCCGCCACCCTTCCTCCCCCTTCCGTCTCGAGCTTTGCCGGCGCAGCATTCCTCCCTCCATCTCTTCGCAGATCCATGCCTCTTTCCCCTGGAGCCGCGCCGCTCGGCCAATCACAGGGCCGGAGTCCGCGCATGCGCCCTTCGCGGGAAAGCGTGCCGCGAGCGGTGATCGACGGCGGCGAGGCGAGCGGGGCTGTAACGCGCGGTCGAACCTGTCGCTCGATTCCGTGGTGGTGTGGATTCCTTGCGAGGTGCTTACGTGGGTAGAACGTTCGCGCGTGGTGTTGGTTTCGAGTCGTCTCGGCGAGGGCAAAAACGAGTCACCGAGGTTCGCCGCGCGGCTCTGCGTAAGTACCAAACACACGGCTCGGAAAAAGTGACCTCCAGGCTCGTCGCGAACGGTTGCCCGACTCTTCGGCCGATATTTCACTCTCTCGACGGCGTCGGCCGACGGAGCGACCGAGAGTCTTCGATTGGGCGCATACCCCGCACGACGGAAGTTCCCCCGATCCGTCGTTTCCCTCCGGCTGGTCCGAACTTTTCGTCCACTTTGTCCCCCGACGCCGTGGAAGTGAAATATCGGCCTTCGTCGGCGCTCGAAAGGCCCTTCGATATTTCGTCCGTTGACACGTTTCGGGGGCACTCCGGAGGCCGACGTTCGATCGCAGTTCGAATTTCCCCGACTCGCGATCATGTTTCGCTCTAAGTGGTAACGTGCTCGCCTCGGCTTTTCCTCGCTCCCGGCTCTCGGGATGAGCCGCTTAACCTAAAACTCTCGCCTCTGGTATTTTTCAGCAAGGAGCACGATCACTCCGCGTTATACGAGTTCTTGCAAATGGAGTCCACCCAGAAGAGCACCGACTGCTACTTCTTCTACTACTCCACTTGCATCAAGGTAAGCCGGCGAGGTGCATTAAAACCATCGCGGAACGCCGAAAACCTGAACTTTTCTCCGTTCGAGGCGGCCGAAGGTGGTTCAGGACAATGGAGTCCGCGTTACGTGTGGAAACGTTGCGATGCGAGGTTAGGTCGGCCATGTTGGAGACAGGTCGCACGTTTGCTGGAGGTGGAGTGGGATTGGAGTGAACGTCAAGAGAAATGCGAAGCGCGTGGGGGGTTTAGCCGCGGATTTATTCGGGTTCGTGAAGGAATTTTAGGTTGGGAAGAATTGCGGGAAAATTCTGGACTTGGATGGAAACTATGGTGCACTTTGCGTTGTTTTAATTGCTGAGTCGAGTGACCTAAATTTTGGTATCGTCGAGGAGGGACGGGGTTGATCTTAATATTTTCTGGAAAGAGTTTAATGGATGTTTGGGTAGTCTTAGGTTTAGTTGCAACATCTTTGCAGTATCGATGCTATATTAAGGCACTGCAAGTTGTTGCGAGTAGTGGTAGAAGTTCATCTTGGATGGTTACGACGCGGGGAGGTATTAAAATCGAATGTGCTTCACAGGGCGACAATTGTGCGTTTAGACATGAACCGGCCGCACTGGGATGCGAAACCATGTGTTCGTATTGGCAGCAGGGTAACTGCCTCAACGAGCACTGTAATTTTAGGCACATGGAGTTAAAGGTAAATATCATCGGGGAAGTCGTAGGATAAACCAAGGGAGGTTACGAGAGCTTGCCTATTGAAAATGTTGATTCCTTTTTGTAGAAAAACCGTAAAATGATTCCCTGTTACTGGGAGACACAGCCTTCGGGCTGCAGGAAGCCCCATTGCTCGTTCTTGCACAAGAAAGCCCGGACAATCAATGATCCAATCAACCCGGTCAAACCTGCAACGAAACCAGCGAATCCAGAGTGGTCGAACCGTCCTGGTAAGAAATCATTCACCGTTTAAATTACCGGGGATGTGACGAGTCGAATGCTTTATCGACTTGAGTTTGGAATATAGTCGACTCCACGAAGGGAGGAGGAACTAGTTGGCGAGGAAAACTACTCGAATAACGACGACTTGAGTAAACAAATATCGTGCGGGAGCTATCGAATCGTTTCATCAATCTCTGGACAACTCTTTCCAAACTCTCATTGAACACAATTGCATGCAAAATAAAATCATCAGGTAGGATGCGAGAAATAATCAACGGTACCACGCGGTACACTATCAATTAACCTGTGTCTCATTTCGTTGCAAGAAATATTTGAATTTTTACAAACTAGTCCATGAACTTCTGAAGCGACTCGATACCTTGCGATGAGTAGACAACTCGGTTTTACCCTCGTAGCTTGCATTCGTTCGCCCCAAGAGTTCGAGTTAAATAAAAATGACAATTGCAAAGAAATGCCCGGCAGCTTAAGGTGAAGTGAAACCCCCTTCAAATCAGTCGATTCGAATACAACACTTTTTTTTAAGGGTATTAGACTAAACTGTCCGAAATTTTGACACATCACTCCTGATCATCTAAGAATTGTCCTGACACGTTCAAAATTTGGATTTTTTAACAAAATTTTCTTAACTCAGCCCAGACCAGAACCAAAATGGCGTCGAGCTCTCATATTTCGATCGATATACAATTATCGAAGGCTCTGATATGAGAATCGAAAGGGTCAGGACAATTTTACGAAAATTTAGAACACTCTGGTAATCGATAAACTCGCATTTGAACGAGATAAGGGCAAAAAAAGAGTTGTATGCGCTTCTATGCTAAAACGATGGTAATACGGGGTCTCGCAGTGAAAATTTAATTGACCTGGAAATCACAGATGGCGCAGGGGGTCCCTCCGCAGTCAATTGGGGCCCCAGAAAGCTTGAATCCAGTGGATTTCTGGAGTTTTACTTCGATTTCTTGATATTTATTGTACGAAAACGACAGGTGGAGTATGCTATTTGGTACAATATTCAATGTAATTCTACCCAGCTGTCAATATAAAAACGAACGTCGGCAACGTAGGCATTTAGAAAAGTCTTCTTTATCGATGTTGATCAAGTTCCTCGACGTGTTTCACTTCACCTTAACGACTTCGTACATTCGACTCGTCGCATACCGAAAAATTGTCGGGATTGGGTACCCTCGAGGGAATGTTATATCGGACATCCTTCTTCAAGATGACACAAAGTTCGACGGTAGTAGCACCGAATCCGACCAGGGTCGGGGTAGCAGCGAGGCCAGCAGTTTCATCGGCAGCCCAGTAGTCGATCCCCTTATCGTCCAGTTCGAAGAAGGTATGAAGCTTTACTAGCCCCCCCGCCCGTCCTTTAACGTACACTACCTCACGCCAGGCACCCTCTCCCTTCCCTCAAGCCTACCGACAAACGTAAACCTCCCGAACGCCCTGAGCCTCCCGAACAGTCTGACAATCCCCAGCAGCGCTCCGAACAGCTTGAACATAACCGGGAGCCTGAGCGTCCCGAGCAACCCTACGGCGGGGCAGCATCCACCCAATGTACAAAACGCTCAGTCGACGACGTGCCAGCACGCCCTCTCGTACACCCACCAGGCGAGTCTGCACTCTCAGACCCACGGTCAGTCCCTGTCGCCGTTGCAAAATCAGCCGTCTTCGCCGCTGCTACAAAGGCCGCCTTACTCGCCCATTCACGCCCAGCACGGCTCCCAGCCGCAGTCTTCGAGGTTCCCGTTTCCCTTCCTGGGGTTCACCTCGTACCGGCGCTACTGAGTCGAACCTCCGGGTGGACGCTCGCCTCGCCACGAGCTTCTCACATCTGGGCCTGAAGAGAGAAAGAGAGAAAGGGAGAGACAGAGCATTGTCAGGCTATCCCGAGGTAGAGGCTTGCGGGGTGCACCAGTGCTCGCGGAGAGGAAACGAATTGACGTCCTCGTTGGGGCCACGACCTTCGTCATCTTTATCCCCGAGGTGGCCATCTCATCGAGAGAGGTGTCAAGCGATCCGGAGGGTGAGGGCTTCTGGTGTGCATCCGTGGTTGCAGAGAAGCAGCGAATACTCGAGGCCGTTCGACCTCGACCTCGACGATCATCTTCGTCCTCGAGGTGGCCATCTAATCGAGAATACGTTGTCACGCGATGTCGGGGTAGATGCTCGCGGGGTGTGTCAAGGCTTGCGGGAAGGGGCCGGATAAAGAGGCGTTTGTTCGTACACTTTGACGATCGTCCTCGAGGTGGCCATCCCGAGGAGGATCATCGCACCGGAGGATCTCGGCGAATCCTTGCGCACGTGAAATCCCCCGTGAGGAAAGACACTGCCGGGAAATGGGACTCTTCTCCTGGGCACTTGGTATTGCAAATACCCGCCTGAAAGGGGGAGAAACTGAGTGAGAGAGAGAAAGAGAGGCGCTGCTTTCCCGTGTCTTGCTCGGGCGGCAGTGTTGCTAGGCTTGATCGTTTATTCCTCAAACTCGAGGAAAGCAATCCGTTTGAGGATTGACCGAAGAAGGCAGGAATTGCGAAGTTAATCCGAGAGAATTCTCGTTAACCGATTTGGATTTTTAAAATCCAAAACAAGAGAGACAGACATTTGAGGCATTTAAATTATGTGTATTTAACAATTAATGATCGGTAAACAAGAGTGGAGGGAATTACGGATAGCCGAAATCAGGCTCGGATTACTTATCTTTTTTTTCTTTTTCTTTTTGTCAATTGAGAAAATGTTAATCACCCAACATTGGCGAGACGTCGCAGCGCCGCCTGGTGGTGAAAATAAATACTTTGAGGAAATCTGAGGTAGTTATCAATTACAATAGGAGAATTTTCATGTATTCAACCTTGCAACACTGCCGAGCGGTTCGTGTGTGGCTTTTTTACATTTATCTTGCGAGCTAATGGAGCTCCTTTCGGAGACAAGAGTCGGAATTTCGCCGGCTAGGAGAAAGAGGGAGAGCGAGAGCCCCTTTCCGTCTCGTTTTGTGGTCCGAGGGGTACTTGATGTAGGGAACCCTCGTGAACGAGAGGAAGAGGGAGGAAAACGTCGAGGGTTAGGTGTCTACCTTTGTAATTTGGTGTGTCGGGTTATCAATTGTCAAAATCGATAGGATTCCCCATGAGGTCTCCGAGGAGAGTTCGGCTCTCGTGTTGTTTCTCGTTACGTTGGCCTTCTTCGTTCTTCTTTTTTTTTTTTTTTCCTGTTACTACTCCACGTGGAGAGCGAAGGCAATGCACGAGAAGGGGACAATCGCGGTCGGAATTGTTAATGCTTTTACATCGATATATATTCATATATATATATATAAAAATGTATATTCACTCGTATTTATCTCGATATCGTGTCACTCGGTTCCTGTTTCCTGGATTCTTTTGGTCTATCCCTTCGCGGGTCTCCCCGGATAGGGCTCGGGATTTAATTTCATTTCCACGAAGAGGGCCTCTCTTCGAATTCCCTCTCTGGCTCGCGCTCTTTCGGCTTTTCCTTTTATTTATTATATTTATCGGGGGCGAGGCGGCCTCCACTTGGTCCTGAGAGATCGGGAACCGAGCCGTTTTGCGTGACACATGCCTTCATATGTTTTGGCTCCTCGCGATCTTCCAGGGTGTACTCTCTCGGGCAGTGGTTTTGCGAGCGAAGGGGGGCCTCTTCGGGGTCCTCTTCAGGGGGTCGATTCTGTGACTCCAGGGAAAATGCTAAGAGAGCACCTCCCGCGATTCTATTACTTTCATTGCGGTGAAAATGTATGATACTTCACGTGGGAATACTCGATGAGAAATTTCGTGTCGAAATGCGAGATCTGAGAGAAAGAGTGAGCGGGGAACAATGTATAGAATAAAGGATAGAGAGCGCATCTATACACATGTTCGGAAGATTCAAAACGAGGTAAAAAATTCATAACGTTGTTAAGCATAGGAGCCAATCATATATGTATATGTTACAGTGAAACACCGAAATCTGAAGAATGTCGACTTTCCCCGGTGAATCTCAACATTCACATAGTCGCTTAGTGTATGTCCGAAATATTTGCTAAATACCCTTATTTCTGACTTACACCGGTAAATGTTGACATTCACCGGTGTGTGATGTTGACACACACTGGAGAGGGTCCGAATGTACAACAATGTAATGAAATATTAGATCTTTCACCGACGTATTTGGTATCAGTTGACATTCACCGGTGAAAGTCGACATTCTCCAATTTCGGTCATTCACGGTAACATATACACTTAACGATATCAAAACTTCTTTTCATCATCCCGTCGCTCTAGAGATTTCACATTTTCACGGGGTACAGAATCGGGTAGATAAATTCACGCTAGGGGATGAAAGTGTGAGAAGTGAGCGCTCTCACTTATTGGGGTCAATTCTGTAACTCGAATCTAGGGAGAATTCTAAAAGCGAACGTCTCCCGCGATTCCGTAATATTCACCATGTTACAAATGTGAGATAGTTCGCGTGACATTGCTCGACGAACAACACCGAGTTCTCGCAGTCTGGAGATTTTACATTTTTACTTAAAGTACCGGACGAATAAATTCACGTCAGATGACAATGCGAGAAGTGAGCACTCTAGCCAAAGTTATAGAATCGACTGGCTCGCGAGCGGACTTTCATAAAGACATTTTCACTCGGAGGATATAGAATCGGGTAAACGATCTTACGTGAGAAGGTACGAGAAGTGAGCGTGTTCCCCGCTTCTTGTGATCGCCCTGTCACAAGTGAGCGCGTTTTTTCACTCGGAGGATGCAGAATCGGCTAAACTCACCCGAGAGGAAGGGGGGAAAAGTGAGCGCTCTCCCCAAGGATACAGAATCGACCCCCTGAGTCCTCTTCGGGGCCCTCGCGTCCCTCTCGACGACCTCGGCATCTCGAAATTGGAACGGAATTAACGCAGGGGAGAAGAGACACGGTTCTCAAGCTCGAGTGATTAATTAAAACCAGGAAAGCCGTACGTTAAACGGAAGTACATCCGGAGTTGAGACGATTAGCTGTTGCGGCACTTCGCGAAGCCGGAAGTGCGCGGCTCGAAGAGGCGGACTTCCGGGGCGAGGGCGAGATGGAGGGAGAGAGAGAGAATTATTGTTTCTTTTGTTCGTAGCGCAAAAGTCTTCGTTGACCACAAACAAAGGCGGTTCGGAGAGGCGACGAGGAGTCCGCGGAACTCTCGGGTGCTCTCTTCTTCAATTTTTCCTCCATTTTTCTTCTATCCCCTCTCGGGGTCGTTGTTTCGCAACGTCGGAGACCTTTTTCCACCCACTCTGAGAGGACCACCCTCCTCGTTGCCGCTCCCTTTTATTACCGATGATGTAAAAGAGATTAACGAAAGAGAGAGAGAGAGACGACGGATTTACCCGCCCCTGCGCACGCGTGCACGCACGCCTTTCCGCGAGGACGGTTAACGTCGAGAACGCAGCCGGTCCTCGGAAAGAGGAAGGGAACAGGGCAGAGGCGACGATACGCGGCCCGGAAGTGATGTTAGAAAATTTGTACATACACCTTGGATCAACTCTTCTCTCTCGGGGCTGAAGAGATCCACGCTGTCCCTGAGGCTGTAAATAAAATTTCGAGAGCAAGGCGGATTCTGACCGCGAGATCATGGAGACACGTCGACGTTTCATGGAACCGGGAACGATCGGCGAGTTGGTTTTGTCTCCCATGTTTCTCTTTTTGTTGTTCAATTTTCTTATATATATTTTTTTTTTTATTGTTCTTTGAAATGCTGCGTTTAAAGGGACCGCCATTGAGAGCCGCGCGTGGCGTGCACGCGTGTGTCGGCCTCGTTGATTGCGATCGACTAATTTAGCATTAAGGAGACCTCGGTCGTAATATAAGCGCGCGATTAATCGCCCACGCACGTACGCGTTACCTTAGGTGATCGATTATCCCCGGCACGCGGCGTACGCATCACGAGAGCATTGCGTTTATAAAGCTACTAACGATATTTATACCCTGCGAGAGAAGGAGAGGGAGAGAGGAACCGGCGGACGAACGCGTGGACACGTGGGGGCCGTCCCGATTTTCCGGACCTTCCCTCGACCCTCTCCTGTATCGATTACAGGCGATTAATCTGTCGATGAATTTCGAGCCGATCGGGAAGGAAGCTCGAAGGGCGATTCGAGTCCACTCGTTAAGTTTATTTACATTTATGAGGAGGAAAATTGCGAGAAATTTCCGTTTATACGAGCTCCTTGGAATGGATTCTACTAGGATTCTGCTCTTAGCTTGTCTCGATTTAACCCCTTGAGTGCCATGCAGGGCGATCGTCTTATTATCATGTTTTTTATTANTTTATTCTTTGTTTGGTTTTGGTACTAGCCCTATTATTGTGACAGCCAGAAGCGCTCCCATGGCACTAGGAAACCCTAAATTCCGCCTGTTTCTTCCAAGTGCGCCTGGACATATCTTTTTTTCTATGGATTATCCTAGTCAAATGATTAATAATGTAATTCTCACTTTGACGCGCGTCTTCGCATTTTTGTTCATATCGAGATAAAAGGCGCAATCGCGCTGCTTGGCATCTTTCAAAATCGCATTATTATAACTCGCGCCATTATTATAACGTCGCGCCTTGTGGTACCTATTTAGTAAAACTGTTGCTATTACTTATGGCAACTTAATCAACGGTGGACTCGGATTGGATCGTTCCACGTGGCCGGCGGTTTGACAGCGATCAGCTGATCACTCCCGATCGGTCTCAGCAGAGAGAGGGAAGGCTCGGCCGAGCGGGGGAGAGGGAGAGAGAGGAGGATGATTAATACTGGATAGCGATATAATTAGTGGTAATTAAAAACAAGACAAAAAAAAATAACTAAATAAATAAATAATTGGAGCGAGGAAAGGGGAGACTCGAGGACGCTCGCAGGCGATTGGTCGGTGTGGTTACGTCGCTTACGCGGGGGCATGGTTTATAACTGCGGATCCGCGGTTCATACTATAATTGTATATCGAGTGTAATAAGTTAAAAAAAAATTCGCCGCCGGGATCTCGTGGAGGATCGGCGGGGGTCGCTCTCGCGGGGGTGGTGGGGAGGGGTGGGAAGGGGGCAGGAAAATGGGTTCGCCCGCGAGAGTGGGGCCCGTCGTGGCGGACGGAGAGGTGTGGAAGAAATAATAAAAATATACAGATTATATGAGTAAATATATAGATAGATAGAGAGAGAGAGATTATATATATATATATTATATATAAAAATACGTACGCGTATAGGTGCGAATATGTACTTGGCCGGGCCGCGGTGTCTCGACTTTCGCCCCGCTGCTCTCTCTCGCGTGGGGGGGGGGGGCCGCGTAATTGGACATATACTTGTTCTTTGTTTTTTTTTCTCTTCACTTTTTTGAAAATTGTTTCCTATGTTGTTGTTTTTTCTTTTTGGTCCTGGGAATTTTTGGGGCTCGTCGAGCGACTCGGAAAATGCCGTAAAAGCGAGATTTGGAGCAGTCTCCTCGTCCTTCTCTCCCGAGAAAGAGTTCTCGGGCCCTCCCCTTCGGGTTCTCCTTCTCGATTGCTCTCCCCGCCTCGGAGGAGCTCTCGACCCTCCTCATCTCGTCGTACGACCCCCCGCGAAGGGAGGATTCTCCGGAAAGGCACCGATCTCGCTGCATTCTCGTCCCCTCCGTTTGGGCCCCTCTCGACGTCTCTCGTCGCTCGCGTACCCCTCGGCTTATTCGGGGCCCTCTTAGGGGTCCTCTTCGGGGAGAGTGGGTGCTTTACCTCGGGGGGACTCTTCGTCCTCGTTGCCCAATCGGGCCCACCCGAAGAGGAGGAATCGGATCCCTCGAAAGAGAGAGAGAGAGAGAGGGAGAGAAAGAAAAAAGGCGCCCTCGTTTCGTTACATCGTGCGGGTTATTATTTTTCCGTTTTCTTTTTTTATTTTACTTTACTTTTTCCTCTTTGCGGTTTTTGGGTTCGTTACTTTATTTCTTGCGAGATGGGCACCCGGAGGGGGGAGGTCGGGGGGAAGTCGGCACTCAGTGGACGCCCGAGTCCCGCGTTTTGCGCCGCTCTCCCTCGCGAGAGGTTTTCGTTGTTTCTTTATTTTTATTTTTTTTTCCTTTTTCTTGTTATATTTCCTTTTTTTTTCTTCCTCTTGATCCCCCTCCCCGTTTCGTATCCTGGCTGGAGAGCCACGGGGGCTCCGAGATTCGGATGCGCGTTGCGTGACACGAGGGTGTCCCACTGAGCGCGGGGTGACTCGTGCGTTACCCAGGGCGCGGCGCGTCACGACGCCTCGACGCGCACTTCCTCGGAGACGACGCGTGAAGTTGGATAACGTTCCGTGCCACGTGGGACGTATACGGTCGGTTTACGACATCGTAATCGTCATTTGTTTCGGCACTGAATGCGTTAAAAATGATTCCGATTGTTTTATTTTTGTTTCTTGTTCTATTGTTGCCTTTACGCGCTGCGCTCTGGATGGCAGCCCCATAATGTCGAGAAAAAGTCAGTGGGTCGCTTAACCCCCGTGCGCAATTTTTCGCCGTGATTTCGAGGGGTTTTTCTCATCATTTACGCGGCATTGCGTGACACGGGGGTGTCCCACTGAGCGCGGGGTGACTTGTGCGTTACTTAGAGCGCGGCGCGTCATGACGCCTCGACGCGTACTTCCTCGGAGACGACGCGTGAAGTTGGATAACGTTCCGTCCCACGTGGGACGTATACGGTCGGTTTACGACATCGTAATCGTCATTTGTTTCGGCACTGAATGCGTTAAAAACGATTCCGATTGTTTTTTTTTGTTTTTTGTTCTATCGCCTTTACGCGCTGCGCTCTGGATGGCAGCCCCATAATGTCGAGAAAAAGTCAGTGGTTAACCCCCGTGCGCAATTTTTCGCCGCGATTTCGAGGGGTTTTTCTCATCATTTACGCGGCGACGCGCTCAATGGATGCGCGTTGCGTGACACGGGGGTGTCCCACTGAGCGCGGGGTGACTCGTGCGGTACCCAGAGCGCGACGCGTGAAGTTGCATAACGTTCCGTCCCACGTGGGACGTATACGGTCGGTTTACGACATCGTAATCGTCATTTGTTTCGGCACTGAATGCGTTAAGAACGATTCCGATTGTTTTTTTTTTTTGTTTTTTGTTCTATCGCGTTTACGCGCCGCGCTCTGGATGGCAGCCCCATAATGTCGAGGAAAAGTCAGTGGGTCGCTTAACCCCCGTGCGCAATTTTTCGCCGCGATTTAGAGGGGATTTTCTCATCATTAACGCGGCGACGCGTTGCTCCGTGTGACCCTCGACGCGCTCAATGGGACAGCCCTGTAAGGCCCTCGCGGTGGCGGCCGCGCCGGCGCGTTTATCCCCCTCCTCTTTCCCAAGGAATTGCGAGGCGTTTTCCAAGCGCTTTATGCGTTTATCACGATTTCCTTGTTGGGGTTTATTTCCCCTCCTTGTTCGTTTCCCCCCCCGCGCGCGCACCGGAAGTGTCGCCGGGACGACCGCCCCCACGACGGCTCGCCATATAAACTCTCTACTTCTGCTATTAAGAGATAACCTAACGCTAAAGCAATGCATTATTATATGATTGATGTAAGCGACAAGAAAGAAAGAATGAAAAAGAAAAAAAATGGATTAAAAAAAAATAAGAGAAGAAAAGAAATATGAAAATTAATACTTTTAACTCAGACGACGGCTTTTCTCGTACCCCCCTTTTTTCATGTCACCTTCCTCGGGCGTCGTTGGTGTGGGGGATGGGTGTCGTGCCGTGGAAGAGATTCGCGGATTCCTCTTCCTTTCTTTTCTATTTTTTTTCCCCCGTTCGTCTTTGATTTCGGGGATGCGAGGGAACGCGCACCCGGAAGAGGGGGACCTCCACGAGGGAGATGGAACTCCGGAAGCAGGGGAGAGAATTGACGATGCCGAAGAGGAGCGAGGCGAAGAGATGTCGAGGAAGCCGAAGAGAGTCGTGGCAAGACTTGGCGAAGTCAAGGAAAGCGAGAACTGCGATCACGAATTTGAGACGAAGAGGGGAGAGAGAGGAACCGAGATACTTGTACCCGCCCACGGTAGAAGCTAGAGATTAAAGGACGAGAGGAAGGATACGGAAGAAATAGGCTGATTTTCCCTCGAAATTGGAGTACGGAGAGAAAAACGAGAGGAAAGAGAGAGGAAAGAGAGAGGGAGAGAAGCGACACGAGGACAGAGGCTGCAAGGCACGCGAGGGGGCGATTGACCGAGATCTCCCGCACCCTCGAGCTGTGTATATAGAGAAAGAGAGAGAGAAAGAGACGCCTATCCATACGTACATATATATAACTGCACATAAATATGTAAATCTAAATCTAGGAGGAAGCGGGGCGAGTGGTGACCGAGCGCGGCTGACCCAATTTTCTTGGTGTGTTCTTGCAGAGTCGGACAATGAGAGCGTACCCTCGCCGATAAAGCCTCAGTCCCGCGTGCCCTACTGTAAGACATACGAGGAGATCAGGTTGGAGGAGATCCAGGCTGAGAGCGCGGCGTATTACTCGTACGAGCCCGACGACTTCCTGGGAGAGCCCGGGGGCGGGAAGGTGAAGACGATGCCCCCGCGGGCGAGCCGAAGACCGGCCGGCGGCTACGAGCGGGACCGGAAGCGGAAGAGGCCGGAAACGGAGCCAGAGGGTAAGACGTCGAGCCTGGACTTCGGAGTGCTGAGCCTGGAGGAGATCAAGAGGCGAAGGAGGCGAGCGGAGGACCAGCCCGAGCGGGAGTTCCTCAAGAGCGCGGTGAAGACGCTGGCCGAACTGAAGGCGGCCGCGGCAGTCGGTCAGCTGACCGGAGACCACGTGACAGGGGACCACGTGACCGAGGGCCCCTATATAACGGGCCGCGCCACGAAGGTCCCGCCAGTCCGGCTGAGGCGCTCGCCGCGGCGGTTCCTCCTCGACCGCGCCCCCGCCCCCCCGCGAGACCCGGAAGAGGCCTCCCAGACCGACGGCGCCGTGGAGAGGTTCCAGGACGCGGCCAACGCCGGCAGAGGCGCCGGGGTCGAGGTTAGGCTTTGCGACAGCAGCACCGACGACGCCCACATGGCCCTCGTGGACGACGTCGCGCCCCCTGCCCAGGATGTTAAAATGGGCCTGCCCTGCGACAGCCTCCTGGTCGGCGCCCAGGACGAGGACTACATGACCTTCGACACGCCTTCGGATGATATCCTCAAGGACATCGACGCCCTCCTGAAGGATCGGAACGCGGTTTGAACTTACGCGGCCCCCTTGTGAATCGACGTATATGGGGGAGGAATCCCTTTCGCGATCAGGGGCCGCTGCGAGACGGAAGTCAGAGACTGGGCAGGTGATCTCGTCGACTTTGGCATTAGCGAATTACTTCATGTACCCCCGCGAGTGGGCTTAGGTTGGTCGCCTTACCGAGGGGATTCTCGAGGCCCGGGAACGCCTCTTGAGGAGGGGCACGGAACCCTCGGCGTTGGCGACGTCGGGGGTAGGTTTTGTATCTAGAAGGAATATCTCCCGGATCGCGAGTCTTGGCATCGTGATCGCGCCCTCGGGAATCGATTTTTTTTTATCAGGCCGGAGTCCCGTCGAGCGCGTCAGCTGTCGAGAAGACCTTATCAAACTGCGCTTGATCCTCTGTATCCTCTACATGACTTTGAAGTCGCAAACTTGTACATCTTTTAAATGTTCAATTTTTCAACATAATTTAATGTGTGACACCTGCGTCTTTATAACGCTGACTAAATGCATTTTAATTTATAAAAATCCACGCTTGGCAAACACTTCTAAACAGTTAATGTTGGGTTAATATTTGACAATTTCACGTTTTATTAGTATTTTGACGGGAACAACGAATTGGGTTTCAGAGGGTCGTGCCTTGGTTTTTATTTTTATTTTTAAGCATCGACGCGTTAACCCTTCGCGATCGGCACATTTCTCTAATGGGAGTACCAGCTAGTCGGAGCAAATGTAAAACATGACGCACATCTCCATGCCCCTAAAAAATAATTTCCTACATTTGAGGGATCAAGGCGATGCGAAAGTGGCGTCGAAGAGGTTTTGTTTATAAAACTTTTATCCCAACTCGATTTACCGAATAGTGTGAAACTTTACAACGTGCATAGGGAGACTGTAGGGAAGGCCCTGAAACTCATGAAATTTCAATTCTTTTCACATTTGTTTATAGGCATTTTAAAAATAGTTTATAAAAAATGAAACTTCCCGAGTTTCAGGACCTACCTTAGGGTCTCCATATTCACGTTTTAAAGTATGGAACGATTTGAGACACTCAGTTTGTAGAAAAGTTTTATGAACGAATCAGCTTTCGGATGCCACTTTCACATCCCCTTAATGACATTATGTCGCAAGACTGGCGGCACCGACTTCTATGACGACTTGCGAATGCCGCCACTGTGGTGGCACCGACTTCTACGACGACTTACGAATGCCGCCATTGTGGCGGCACCGACTTCTATGACGACTTGCGAATGCCGCCACTGTGGCGGCACCGACTTCTACGACGACATACGCATACGAATGCCGCCACTGTGGCGGCACCGACTTCTACGACGACTTACGAATGCCGCCACTGTGGCGGCACCAACTTCTACGACAACTTATGAATGCCGCCACTGTGGCGGCCCCGACTTCTATGACGGCTTGCGAATGCTGCTACTGTGGCGGCACCGACTTCTACGACGACTTGCAAATGCCGCCACTGTGGCGGCACCGACTTCTACGACGACTTGCGAATGGCGGCACCGACTTCTACGACGACTTACGAATGCCGCCACTGTGGCGGCATCGACTTCTACGACGACTTGCGAATGCCGCCACTGTGGCGGCATCGACTTCTACGACGACTTGCGAATGCCGCCACTGTGGCGGCATTGACTTCTACGACGACTTGCGAATGCCGCCATTGTGGCGGCACCGACTTCTATGTCGACTTGCGAATGCCGCCACTGGGGCGGCACCGACTTCTATGACGATTTGCGAATGCCGCCATTGTGGCGGCATCGACCACAAAGGGTTAACGCGCCGCGCTTTGAGGGTCACTCGATTCGCTCAATGGGACGACGGTGTTTGTCCAATAAGGACGAGTCGCTTCACCGAAATTTAGGATATACATGTATATCTTGTAGGGAAGTCAAGGATACGTTTCGGATGGCTCGTATCGAGTTGGTCGATACGATCGCGGGGAGAGAGGAATCTTGTACACTGGGAGACATCAATGCCCTCCCATCCTGCACAGGCGATGTCGTACCTGGAGGGGAGGCATTCATGTCCACATTGTACACTGGGAGACATCAATGCCCTCCCATCCTGCACAGGCGATGTCGCATCTGCAGGGGAGGCATTCATGTCCGCCATTGTAGGTAAAGAAGGTCTCTTCAGGGAAGGTAGACGTAATCTTGCACAACCTTTACCTATATGCGGAATCGACGCCGGTACCTTTCTCGTTTTTCGTCCCTTGACATGGGCACCTTGTTTAGAGCGAGTCAGGACGGCACGTTGTACAAATAAATGAAGGGCTAGGACAAATATATGACGATTGTTACGTTTGCAAGGCAACTGCGGTCCGATCAATCGACTCTTCCCCTCACCTCTTCAACGGCTGTCAAGGTAAGCGAATTTGATGATAACGTTGGATCTTCGAAGTTAAGGCTGAAAGTGAAACTTCTATATAAAGAATTTTTGATACTTAGTGTTTATTATTTATTAATTATTAATTTTTCACGGAATGTTCCTCCCTACTTAGGTATTGGGTGGTTTGGGCAGAAATGGACTAATTGAAATGAGGATAAATTGGTATTAACCGGGAAAAAAGAAGTAAACGTTTATGCTAATTCTGTTGGTAACATAAAAATGAATGTAAATAGAAATTAGTCGTTAAAATAGGAAGCGGGATGTTCCGTGAGCGACAGTCATGTATTTTAAATTCTTCGCTGCTTTAGAGATGTCGGACAAATTTCCAGAAAGGGACTTATTGCCTGCTTGGGCCAGTCGAGCCATTTACCAATTTAGCAATTTTCTTACTCCGAGATCCGTTCGTGAATTTTAGTTTTCTACGATACGGTTATATTGTCCCGTACGTCCCATCGCGGAGGTTTAGAGTTCTTTAGAATTTTCCTATTCTTCCTAGTTCCTATTCTTTACCGTCGTACCTTCTTTAACTTAAGGTGAAATGAAACACGTCGAGGAACTTGATCGACGTCGATAAAGAAGACTTTTCTAAATGCCTACGTTGACGACGTTCGTTTTTATATTGACAGCTGGGTCGAATTATATTGTGTATTGTACCAAATGGCATGCTCCACCTGTCGTTTTCGTACAATAATTATTAAGAAATCGAAGTAAAACTCCAGAAATCCTCGGGATTCATGCTTTCTGGGGCCCTAATTGACTGCAGAGGGACCCCTTACGCCATCTGTGATTTCCAGGTCAATTAAATTTTCACTCCGAGACCTCGTATTGCCATCCTTTTGGCATAGAAGCGCATACAACACTTTTTGTTGCCTTTATCCCGCTGAAATGCGAGTTTATCGATTACCAGAGTGTTCTAAACTGTCGTAAAATTGTCCTGATCCTTTCGATTCTCATATCAGAGCCTTCGATAATTGTATATCGTTCGAAATATGAGAGCTCGACGCCATTTTGGTTCTTGTCTGGGCTGAGTTAAAAAATTTTGTTTAAAAATCCAAATTTTCAATGAGTCAGGACAATTCTTAGATGATCAGGAGTGATGTGTCAAAGTTTCGGACAGTTTGGTCTAATACCCTTAAAAAAAAAGTGTTGTATTCGAATCGACTGATTTGAAGGGGGTTTCACTTTACCTTAAGGCGAAGATTCGGTACAAATTACATATATACTACATATATATTACATATATAATAAAAAAAAAAATCAGTATGGAAGAAAAATCCACAGGAACCATTCCTCGAGGACCCTCGCTGCTCGACTTCATCCTGTAAACGAGGAACAGGAAGAGGAGGGCACACCGACCGCGAAGAGACCAACCAACCGAAAAGCACGCCGGTATACTTAAATGCACACACTATTTATTTAGAATGTATAATCGTACGCTTAACAATACCTGGCCCTAAGAGGAGGAAAAAATCACAAATCGGTACCTCTCTCGGCGTTACCACCTCGCACTGAAAACGCCCCCCTGTCCCCTTTCCCTCCCCCCGCACCGAGATCGAACCGCCTATTTTCTTTTTTTTTTCTCTTATCACGGTCCTGATAACGTCCAAGTCCCTTGTCGAGCCCTTTATCAGTGAATCGTGCCTACGAACGTCCATCGTCCCCTCTCTCTCTTTTCGCCATTCGTGTTATTATGAATATAAATAATATTGGTAATACCGACTTAGAAACTATGCCCCATGGCCCCGTCGTGGGTCAGGGTCGTGTTCCTTTTTCTTTCGGATTTTTCCCTCTCCCTCCCCCCTCCCACCCCCCCTATTCCCTGGTTATTCGGCTAAGACGCACCTAGGGTAATTCGCCTAATCCTAGATTTGCGGATAAAAATGACACCGGGACTCCCTGTGTTAGCTGGGGCGCTCGCAAAGTGGTTCTCGTGGGTACTCCGGAAGGATGATCCAAGTCCTGAAGGGTGACGTGATTTTAGTGACGTATGGTGAGAGATTGACGATGGGTTAAGGGGATGTGAAAGTCGCATCCGAAAGCTCAATCGTTCATAAAACTTTTCATTGAACTGGGTGTCTCAAATCGTTTCATACTTTGAGACGTGAATATGGAGACTCTAAGGTAGGTCCTGAAACACGGAAAATTTCATTTTTTATAAACTATTTTTAAAATACCTATAAATAAATTTGAAAAGAATTGAAATTTCANTATAAATAAATGTGAAAAGAATTGAAATTTCATGAGCTTCAGGGTCTTCCTTATAGTCTCCCTATTCACGTTGTAAAGTTTTAAACTGTTCGGTAAACCGAGTTGGGAGAAAAGTTTTATAAACAAAACCTCTTCGATCCCCTTAAGGCGATGTGAAAGTGGCATCCGAAAGCTCATTCGTTCATAAAACTTTTTCATAGAACTGGGTGTCTCAAATTGTTTCATACTTTAAAACGTGAATATGGAGACCCTAAGGTAGGTCCTGAAACTCGGGAAATTTCATTTTTTATAAACTATTTTTAAAATACCTATAAACAAATGTGAAAAGAATTGAAATTTCATGAGCTTCAGGACCTTCCTTATAGTCTCCCTATTCACGTTGTAAAGTTTTAAACTGTTCGGTGAACCGAGTTGGGAGAAAAGTTTTATAAACGTAATCTCTTCGATGCCCCTTTCACATCGCCTTAAGGTGATCACAGATGGCGACGGTGGTCCTAAACAGTTGTTAGAATAATGAATTCACGGGACTTCGACAGTTTTACGTCGATCACTTTATTATTACTTTACTAAAATGGCATATGAAACGCTTCATATCGTACAATTCTAGACTGTAAAAGGCTTCGTAGACTGTAAAAGACTTCGACATAAATATAAATGTCGGTAACGTGACGCGCCAGCTTAGGTTCCCACTTGAGTATTTAAAATGACGTTCCCACCAAAAAAAGAAAGAGTATAGATGAATTTTAATTTATCGACCTCGATTGAATTTTTCAGCGCTTTTCATATCACCTTAAGGCTACATCCTTACATTCAGGTGATTTTGTTATTTACAAGGAATTTAAAAATGTTCATAAGCGCTTCTGGATAATTGCTAAATTTCCTACTGTATGTACATCGTGCAGAATCGGGATGTTTCTTTGTCGGCGGTAAGTAATTGCGACTTGGATGATCCTTCCATCGCGACTTTCAATTGTTAACTCTTTGCCCTACAACTTGTGGACTCGTGGTCAGGTATTCGGGCAAAACTGATTTTCACGAGCCTGGCCCGTGCTACACTGGGAGACATCAATGCCCTTCCAACCTGCACAGGCGATGCCGTATCTGCAGGGGCGGCATTCATGCCCGCCATTGTACATCGATCGGGCCAAATGTAAACATTGTTTCGGGCCCACGCTGTTGGAACTTAAGGTGAAGTGAAACACGTCGAGGAACTTGATGAACGTCGATAAAGGAGATTTTTCTAAATGCCTACGTTGCCGACGTTCGTTTTTATATTGACAGTTGGGTCGAATTATATTGGGTATTGTACCAAATGGCATATTCCACCTGTCGTTTTCGTACAATAATTATAAAGAAATCGAAGTAAAACTCCAGAAATCCTCTGGATTCATGCCTTCTGGGGCCCTAATTGACTGCGGAGGAACCCCTTGCGCCATCTGTGATTTCCAGGTCAATTAAATTTTCACTCCGAGACCTCGTATTCCCATCGTTTTAGCAAAGAAGCGCATACAACACTTTTTTTACCTTTATCCCGTTCAAATGCGAGTTTATCGATTACCAGAGTGTTCTAAATTGTCGTAAAATTGTCCTGACCCTTTCGATTCTCATATCGGAGCCTTCGATAATTGTATATTGATCGAAATATGAGAGCTCGACGCCATTTTGGTTCTGGTCTGGACTGAGTTAAAAAATTTTGTTGAAAAATCCAAATTTTTCATGTGTCAGGACAATTTTTAGATGATCAGGAGTGATGTGTCAAAGTTTCGGACTGTTTGGTCTGATACCCTTAAAAAAAAGTGTTGTATTCGAATCGACTGAGTTGAAGGATGTTTCACTTCACCTTAAATCGTAGGGCAAGGGGTTAATCGAGTATCGTATTCAGGGTACGAGCCGCACGGTGGGCTCTTCAGGGACTATTGTTAATTCCGAAATGGCGAGGGCCCTGTCTGGTTGTCAGCAAAAATACCGAGGAAGAGGAAGGAAAACCAGAAGGAGAGTTCCCGAGACAAGGAGGTACCTTTGTCCAACTTGGGGATTTTAAGGTGATATGAAAGCGTGATATATACATACCAAAAGGTCAAAGTATTTGTCAAACTTCAATTTTAAGGTGATATGAGAGTGTGACAAATACATACCAAAAAGTCAAAATATTTATAAAACTTTTCTCCAAACTGGGTGCGCTGAATTATCTAAAACTTTAACGCATGATCATGGAGGCTTTAAGGAAGAACGCGATGCCAATGAAATTTCATTTTTCGACAGAAAATATCTTCTTTTGGTTCTTGTCCCAGATAAGTAGGAAATTTCTGTCGAAAAAAGAAACTTCACGAGTAGCGCGTTATTCCTTAGGGCCATAATTACGTGTTAAAGTTCCGGATAATTCGGTGCGCCCAGTTTCGAGAAAGGTTTTATACATATTTTGACTTTTTGTTAT